ACCTTATCATAGCTCACCTTTGGTTTCTGAGGACAAAAATAGGTCTAAAACAAAGGTTGAGCCACTTGGGACAAGCAATGGCCCTGTTGAGAAAAATTTGGGTAGGCCTTCAAGCAGCGTTGAGAAGAGCACTGTTGAGAAGAATTTGGGTAGGCCAAGAAGTCAGGTAACATGGGCATCACCACCAGAGGGCTCTTCCACCAATCCAACAAATGGTATCAACACAGCCATGGAGTACCCAATGAAAATTGAAAAACCTTCTTCATCAGTGATTAATACTCCTCCTGCAGGTTCACAAGTTGCGATGGCGCCGCTCCCGCCAGGATGGAGAGCAGGTCCAAGGAGATATGCCAACTTCAACTTCTCATATAGGTACCCAGAAAATGAAGCTTACACAGCCACCATTGATAGCAGCTGGGAGGCTGCAAGGAAACATGGCGGCTTCCTCTCACGTTCGTACCCAAAAAATGAAGATTGCAGTGCCAACTTCAACTTCCCACCTAGGTACCCAAAAAATGAAGCTTACAAAGCCACCATTGATTGCAGGGAGGCTGCAACGAAATATGGCGGCACAACTGTGTGAAAGTAAGAAATTAACATATAGCGAGAACTTTAATTAGTGATGGGTTATGCTATATTAAGTTAGGAACTAAAGTGCTTCATAAGATAGTTAAGTTACACCCATATTTTTTGTTTCAGGGGAAGATTCAATTGGTTAAAAGTATGACATTTCAAATTAAAAATTTCAACTTTAAATTTTAAATCAGATGAAAAAATATTTGAAAATAAGAGTGGATTATTTCTTCTTGCATAACTCGTAAGATATACTAAAAAAAAAAATTTCATGTTTTCTTTTCTTTTTTTGTTAACCCTATTAAGAAAAGCCAATTTTGGTATTGTAATATTATAAGGATGTGCTAAAAAAAATTGCTCACAACTTATGCTATAATAAGCTTTTCTTATGGATCCTATGAAGCAATTGCATTATACATCAACTAATTATTTTTCTTTTTCTTTTGCCATGAAATTTTTTGTTTTGTTTTTTTTTTTCTTTTTTCTTCTTTTTTTTGCCATCTAAAAGTTTTCGTTCTTTCATTCATGATATACCAAATGAATATATTCAATAAATAGCTATTAAACTTTAGGAATAAATTCAAACAATGGTAATTCAATTAGTTTGTAATTAACAACTCAATACTGTCATAACTCGATTTTACATTTAGTTTATTTAGACTTTTCATATATATATATCAATAACAAAATTAAAAAATCAAAAAAATAAAAAATAAATAAATAAATATGAATTTTCTCTTTCCTTTAACTAATATATCTTCATTCTTCTTTCAGGTGCTACATGCAAAAAGAAGAAACTAAAGAAGAAAATGAAGAAAAGAAACTCGAGAAAGGACTCAATTGAAGGAATCAAAAGTTTAAGGGTGAAATTCATCAAATTTGCAAAACCAACAAATCCAACCCACTTCAATTTTTAAGCCCATTTCAGCCTACTAGCCATTCAGGCCCATTTCAAAAAAAAAAAAAAAAAAAGGGGCACAAAAGCTTGTATGCCCTTTTTCTCCCAGTCAATCATCGGGTTCCCTTTGCTCACTGGAACCTTGCCCTGCTCCACGCCCCCTTTGCTCACCGCGAGCCAGCCCTGCTCCACACCCCCTTTGCCCACCGCGAACCAGCCCTACGCTCGGATCCCCTGCTGCTGCACGCTGCGCCTGCGCCCCTGCTCCCTGCTCTGCGCCCAATCCCGTGATCCCCTTGCTCTGCGCCCAATCCCGTGATCCCCTTGCTCTGCGCCAACCCCTTGCTCTGCACCAAATCTCCTGCACTCTGCGCACCGGCAATCATGCCTCCTGCATGCCTACACGCCCTACCCCCTGCGCGCCTGCACCCTCGTCTGCCCGAGCCCAGATCTGCACTCATCACCCCTCCTCTGCCCGAGCCGATCTGCACTCATCACCTCCCCTCTTCCCCAAACCAATCACCTGTGCCCCAATCGTGCAATCCCCGGCTACAACGCAATCCTGCAACCCAATCTTGTACCTGCTCTGGTTGTCCGATTCTCCTTGGCACCTTGTCTCGTTCTTCAGCAAGATGAAGCTCGGTCCTTTGCTTTGGTGGGTATATATAGAGGGTCTTTGTTAGAAGGCTTGGGGGGATTTGGCTTGTTTGAAGGTGGTGTGGTGTTGACGGAGGAGAACATTTTTTTGGAGGTCGACGGCGATTGAAAAGGAGGCTTATTTTTCTGTGTCTGTTTCCTGCTTTAGGTAATTTTCTAAACAGAGGGGTTTTTGGGAAAGATAGTGATGGAGACGAATGGAGCTTGATCCCGTGGGTGGGATCCCTCCTTCTAATCCTGATCTGTCTTCCCCAAAATTTTCCGCTTTGTTTGTTTCAATTTTTTTTTTTTAAATCTTGATGTATTGGAGTTGTATTGGATAATGATATTATGAATACAATCAAGCATGCTCTGCTGAATTTCATGGATTGTGTATTTGTTTTCTTTTGTTTGTTTAGTTGAGTGGCCGAATAGGAACTCTAAATTCCATTTTGTTTTCTGTCCAGGTTTCATTTCTGTGTAAATTTTAATCTATTTTCGCTTATTTTTGGTTAATAGTTCGTGTTTTGGATCAAGTATATATATATAAACACAAAAAAAAGAGTAAAAAAAATGTAAATAAAATATTAATTGATTAGGATAATGAGTTTAATTTATGATTAATGAAATTAATTAATTTTAATTAAAGTAAATTAATTATGTTTATTGGTGTTAATGTGAGATAATTAGATTTATTTAATTATCTTGATTAGAAACTAATAGATGTGATTAATCAATTTTAATTAATTTTAATTAATGTTGAATTAATCTTTCAATTAAAT